CTTGCTTCATTGCATCTGGCTCTGAGAGAAGCTGCATGATTTCTGAGCTCACTTCCTCTTCATCCCAGCATTCTGTTCTGTTTACTCTGCCTATCTAGATTCTGCCCTATGAGGCCAAGCAGTTTCTTTGTTACTTAACCAATGAAATCAACAGATTGATATATAACACTCCCACATCAGGTTCTGTTGATGTTGAACTGGGGTTTCTGTTGATGCTCCACTGGGGTTGTGTTGATGTTGAACTGGGGGTTCTTTTGTTTTTGAACTGGGGGGTTCTGTTGATGTTGAACTGGGAGTTCTCTTTATGTTGAACTAGGGATACTGTTGATTTTGAACTAGGGCATTCTGATGATTTTGAACTGGGGGTTCTGTTGATATTGAACTCAGGGTTCCATTGATGTTGAACTAAAGAGTTCTAATGATGTTGAACTGGAGGGTTCTGTTGATGTTGAACTAGGGCGTTCTCTTTATGTTGAACTGGGGTTCTGTTTATATTGAACTGTAGGTTCTATTTATGTTGAACTGGGGAGGTCTGTTGATGGTGAACTGGGGGTTCTGTTGATGTTGAGCTAGGAGGTTCTGTTGATGTTGAGCTATGGGTGCTGTTGATGTTGAACTAGGGAGTTCTATTGATGTTGAGCTAGGGGTTCTGTTGATGTTGAAAAGTGTGTTCTGTTGATGTTCAACAGGGGTTTTGTTGAAGTCGGACTGGGGGGTTCTGTTGATGTTGATCTGGGGGTTCTGTTGATGTTGAACGGGGGTTCTTTTGATGTTGGACTTGGGGGTTTTCTTAATGTTGAATTGGGGGTTCTGTTGACATTGAACTTGGGGTTCTGTTGTTGTTGAACTAGGCGGTTCTGTTGGTGTTTAGTAGGGCTTTCTGTTGATATTGTGCTGAGGGTTCTTTTGATGTTAAGCTAGTGGTTCTTGTAGTAGGGAGTTGTGGCCTGCGTTTTTGCCATCCAGCTCCCGGGCACTGGCTAGTTTTACCTCAAATTACAACACACAAATTGTATTCTTTTAAGCACTGCCTGGCCCATTATATCTAGCCTCTTCTGGACTAAATCTCACGTATTAATTTAGCCCATTTCTAATAATGTGTGTAACACTACTAAGTGCGCTTACTGGAAAGATTCAGCATGTCTGGCCTGGCAGCTCTCTTCATTGCATCTGGCTCTGAGAGGAGCTGCATGATTTCTGAGCTCACTTCCTCTTCATCCCAGCATTCTGTTCTGTTTACTCTGCCTATCTAGATTCTGCCCTATGAGGCCAAGCAGTTTCTTTGTTACTTAACCAATGAAATCAACAGATTGATATATAACACTCCCACATCAGGTTCTGTTGATGTTGAACTGGGGTTTCTGTTGATGCTCCACTGGGGTTGTGTTGATGTTGAACTGGGGGTTCTGTTGTTATTGAACTGGGGGGTTCTGTTGATATTATACTGGGGGTTCTCTTTATGTTGAACTGTGGTTTCTGTTGATGTTGAACTAGGGAGTTCTGTTGATATTGAACTTGGTGTTCTGTTGATATTGTACTGAGGGGTTCTGTTGATGTTGAACTAGGGAGTTCTGTTGATGTTGAACTGGGTGTTCTGTTTATATTGAACTGGATGGTCTATAGATGTTGAATTGCGAGGTTTTGTTGATGTTGAACTGGGGGTTCTATTGATGTTGTGCTAGGAGGTTATGTTGATGTTCAGCTATGGGTTTTCTTGATGTTTGACTAGGGTGTTCTGTTGATGTTGAAGTTGGAGTTTTGTTGATGTTGAATGCGGTTTCTGTTAATGTTGAACTAGTGCGTTCTGTTGATGTTGAACTTGGGGTTCTGTTGAGGTTGAACTTTGGGGTTGTGTTGATACTGAACTGGGGGGTTCTGTTGATATTGAACTGGGGTGTTCTATTGATGTTACACTGGGAGTTTCTGTTGATGCTGAACTGGGGTTCTGTGTGTTGAACTGGAGGTTCTTTTGATGTTGAATTGGGGGTTTTGTTGATGTTGAACTAGGGTGTTCTGTTGATGTTGTCATGGGGGTTTCTGTTGATGTTTAGTTGGGTTTTTTTTATGTTGAACTGAAAGGTTCTGTTGATGTTGAACTGGAGGGTTTTCTTGATGTTGAGCTAGGTGGGGTTCTGTTGATCTTGAGCTACGGGTTCTGTTGATGTTAAACTAGTGGTTTCTGTTGATGTTGAACTGGCAGTTCTGTTTATGTTGAACTGGGGGTTCTGTTGATGTTGAACTAGGTTGCTTTCTTGAAGTTGAACTGTTGGGTTCTGTTGATGTTGAACTGGTGGGTTCAGTTGATTTTGAACTGGGGGGTTTTTTTGATGTTGAACTGGGCGGTTTTGTTAATGCTGAACTGGGGGTTCTGTGGATGTTGAACTGGGGGGTTCTGTGGATGTTGAATTGGGGGTATCTGTTTCTGTTGAAGTGGGGGATTTTATTGATGTTAAACTGGTGGTTTTGTTTATGTAGAGCTGTGGATCCTGTTGATTTTGAAGTGGTGGTTTCTGTTGATGTTGAACTGGGGGTTGTGTTTATATTGAACTAGGGCGTTCTGTCAATGTTGAACTTGGGATTCTGTTTATTTTGATCTGGGTGTTCTATTGATGTTGATCTGGGGGTTCTGTTGATTTTGAGCTAGGGGGTTCTATTTATTTTGAGCTATGGGTTCTATTGATCTTGACCTAGGCAGTTCTGTTGATGTTGAACTGGGGGTTCTTATTTTTGTTGAGCTGGGGGTTCTTTTGATGTTGAACTAGGGGTTTCTGTTGTTGAACTAGGGGGTTCTGTTGATGCTGAACTAGGGGATTGCTTTGATGTTGAACTAGAGGGTTCTGTTTATGTTTAACTGGGGATTCTGTTTATGTTTAACTGGATGTTCTGTTGATGTTGAACTAGGTTGTTCTGTTGATTTTGAAGTATGGCTTCTGTTGATTTTGAACTAGGGATTTCTATTGATGTTGAAGTGGTGGTTCTGTTTATGTTGAACTGGGGGTTCTGTTGATGTTGAACTAAGGGGTTCTGTTGATGTTGAACTGGGGGTTCTGTTGATGTTGAGCTACGGCATCTGTTGATGTTAAATGGGGGTTCTGTTGATGTTGAACTGGGGAGTTCTCTTAATGTTGCACTTGGGCGTTCTATTGATATTGAACTGGGAGGTTCTTTTGATGTTCAACTGGATGTTCTGTTTATATTGAACTGGAGGTTCTATTGATGTTGAAATGTGGGGTTCTGTTGATGTTGCAGTGGGGTTCTGTTGATATTGAAGAGCTTGGCCAGCTAATGAAGAGTCAAGTTTGTGAGTGTTGAGACTTCATCCCCCAGAATTAGATGACAAATACCACTTCCCACAGAGGCATCACCCTCCCTGGCATAAAGCGTAGAAAACAGGGAAACAGCTAGGAGGCTGTCTAGGGTGAGCAGTGGGAAATGAGGAGATACTTTGGGAAGGCAATTGAAGAGGCCTCTACCTCCCCATTCCATGTGCTGTCAAGGAAGCTGTTTCTCCTCAATATGGCCTAGGCACCTTGGGTTTACATCTGCCTTTGTGTCTATCTAACTCAACAACAAATGGTCACAGCTCAATTAACACCAGACTGCACCCTTACTGGCTCCTTATAAGTTGGTGTTACTCATCCTCTGCTAAACACTGGTTTAGAAATTGTTTTCCTTAATGGCTTCATCTGCTAATCTGTCTCTGTCTCTCTCTTCCTTTTTTCCATTCCCAGTTTCACCCTCAGACCCCTAAAGGTCACTTTGGTTCCTCTGTCGTATCATCACCCGAGTCGGCCTCTGAAATTACACTCATATTTTACTTCAATCCCACGGAATGCTGTCTGTTACTAGAAACCTAGTCTTCTGGGCTTCAGAAAAGATTTGACCCAACAAGCCTTCATCTCCCACACATCAGGTGATTGGCTAATCTGATCTTTCTTCAACATTATCCTGGTTTCAGCTGCACCTGCCCCTAACCTTTGCTCCCATCCCTGTTAAGTCTCAGTTAGCTCATTACCTCTGTCACTTCGTTTCCTAACTGAGCCTACATTTAGTCTTATGAAATTTACCCTGTGTGAAGACCCCTGAGGAAACTGTCACTCAAGCCTCAGCTCCTTCTTTACTTTCCTGTTTAGCAACCACTGATGGCCCTCAGTCCTGATGAACCTAGTTGGTCAGCCAGTTCTTAGCCTTCTCTGTCTACATGTGAAGATCCTGTACCACCAAGCTCCACCCATTGGAACAGCCTTTGGCTGTTCTCAATCTGAACTCTCCACTGAGCTCCACTGCCTCAGCCTTGTCTTCCCTTCCTCCGGGATTCTCTGTGTATACTTGCAGGCACATCAGATCCGAGTCCCGAACATGACTGAGTCTGTCCCCTGAGCCTAGGATGCTGCCTCCTCCCTTTCCACAGACATGTGCCTCAAATGACTCCCTGATGACTGTCAAACAAAAGTTTTATTGCCTTCCTCCAAATTCTTTTGTTTATTGCCACTTCTAAAGAAGTACGATCAATATACTATGCTATCTAAATGCAACACCTTATTATGGGACTAGAGAAAGCTGTTCTCTTCTCTCTGTCAGGATTATGTGCTATGTCAACAGAATAACGCAACTTTACTGCCCAGTAAAATTTTTAAATTTGTATTTCCTTTTTTTTCATCATCAGAGATGATATTCAGTATGTTGTTGGTAATGATGGGAACTACAAACATATTGTTATACCGTTTATTTCCTTGTTAGTTTAGTGGTCTAACTAGTTAATTTTAAATATAGTGACTATTATTTTAAGGGACTGTTTCCTCTATATAATTGGAATGCAGACGTTTAAGATATTCTGCTTTGTGTATCAATCTAACCACCGCTATACCTTTTAGGGTAATATTTTTAATTATTCTGAGAAAAAGAAAAGCACTCCCCAAAGGGCTAACAGTTTGAAACTGAACAGGACACTCCTACAAAAGGAGAGGGTCATAGGTCATCCTCAAACAGACAAAAGACAATGGAGACGATTGTGCCTAGAGATGGTAATTTTTTTTCATGAGACAGTGTGTTGACAGTTTCCTTCCTCTTGGGTCATTGTCGTCTGTTAAATGACCTGTGACGGCAAATTGATCTCAAGATTTTCATGCAAGAGATACAAGGCAGCCTTTCATTTTGCTGCCCTCTCTGCAAAACGCTGAAACATTTCGGGGGGCAAATTCGTGTTACCTTAGCATATTGTTCGGCCGCGTGAAGCTTGGCAGGCTGTGCTGGAAGCAATATGAGCAATGATTAATTTATCTTCACCCGTTTCAGATGTTTACTTATGTATGATTGGAAAAGTAATAACACATTTGAAAAATGTTAGTTTTAAAATTAGGTGTCATAAACTGCTAACTAAATGGATGCACTGATCCATTTAAATATTGCCCCATTAATTTCAGAATTGAGTCAAATACTTACCTTAAGGAACTTACAGTTGACCCCTAAAAATTAATACTAATATTTTTTTGACTGAAAATGTTTCTCCTTCCAAAGAATTGAAAAATTAAATTGAAGATCATATATAAGGGATATTACACCTGATGTTTAAGCATCTACTTGCACTGGTTAGCTGGTGACTTCACATGGCTGAATGTTATCTCGAAGTAATGTCTTATTTACAGAGCTATAAACTGCTGTGCTCAACAAGTTCATAGTAAAAATGCATGCAGATGCAGCGACTTAGGAAGTGGTCTTCAGTTGCAACTTACTGCATTACTAGAATCTTCTCTTTCCTGTAAGGGCATAAGGACACCAATAGAGGAATGTTCGGGTGGGGGATGACGAAAGTGGAGGCTTCCATGTGGCTAGGATTCTGTGTAAAAGTCGACCATTCTGATGCCTTTATTCTCCCTATGAAGAAGAAATGAAAACCATCATACTAAATGGCATTGGTACGACGTTTAAGAAAACTTTACTGTAGAGTAAAGAAAATGACAAATATAATGCTTCCCTTAAGGATCCTTTGAGATACTGGCATTAGTCTTTTTACAGTGCAGATAAACATGTACATAGGTGGGCATTTCTATTCATTACTGAAAAATTAGACAGTTTGTCTTTTCTGTGATTTTACTTGTCAGGGGCTAATGCGTTTTATTCATCTATTCAATGGGTAATTCTTAGAGAGGTATGTCCAAAGCCCAACCTGATGGCACACGCCTGTAATCCCAGCACACAGGAGACTGAAGCAGGAAGATTGTGAGTTCAGGCCAGTCTGGGGTACGTAGAGGGCAAGACTTGCCAGGTACACACATACCTGGTCTCAAAAGAATAAAAAAAGAAAGAAAGAAGGAAGGAAGGAAGGAAGGAAGGAAGGGGAAAGGAAGGGAATGGGAAAAGAGTATCATAATTTTCAAATCAGCCTCGTTTGATATGATTGTTAGCTGAATGGTATGCTCTGATAATTTTAAAAACAACCTTACAAATTATATTTTGTTTGTATTTTCAGAGTAATTAAGAAAATCTCATTTAACGATTACTACAAGACATGGTCTACGATAGCCACATCACAAACAGCAGAACTCTCCAGAAATCCATGTAAGCAGATCTAACCTTCTGTGTCCTTCTAATATCCATTAACCTGTGGACCGTTCTGATTGTCTTACTTTTAAAGACTAGTTGACACGTCTTGGCTATGCAAGAGCAATAAGCTGTTTGCTGGTTCTCTGTGTTACACTAGTCACTCAACAACTGTTAATTTAGTGCCTCATTTGTGTAGAGCCCTGACCTGAGTCCCCTTAAAAGCCAGAAGAAGAGTAGGCAATTGATGGAGTTCTTGATCTTTTGAGGTTTACTTAACTGCCTTCACCCAAGAAAGGAGAGTTCACAGCAGGGTGGACCTTTCCATTTCAAAGACCGTTATGCCCGAAATCAGAGCCGGCACAGAGAGCAAATGCAGGCAGAAGAAGTGTGAGCGCAGGGAGGGCAGTTCGGTTACATCCCTGTAAGGAAGCATTGTCTGGGGACCACAAACACAGAGTGTGAGAGCCGGACAAGTACTTCCATTTAAGCGGACTTTTAGACTATGTCTTCATTTTCCTCCAAGTAGGCTATCCAGGCCCCACACATCAGTGAAAATGTGGCTTTGCCCCAGCCATCCTGTCCAAGTGGCATCCATGGGCCTCGTGAAGGTAGAAGGGACTGCGGAGCCCAGAGTCTGCAATGACGTTCTGAAGTGCTTTTCTCTCCTAGCTGTTGCTGCCTATGCTCTCATTCATGTCCATGCTGCCCTGCGTCCGCAAGTTTTATTCTTTTTGCCTAGGTATTCTGCCTCTTTTCCCGGTGATGACCTCGTCCCTACCCTTCTCCCCATCTTCCTGAAAGGCCTCTCTCGCTGCCTTCCTTTTCATCAGTCAGTGATGCCCAAACCACACCTCCAGCCAGACCCCCTTCCGCACCCACGGGCACATGTGCAGCCAGGCCCCGAGTCCCCCACCTACACATGGTACAGGCATGCCATTCAGATATCCTGAGCCCGGTTCTCCCTGGAGCTCCCAAACCTGTCCCTCATTCCTTCTCTGTCTTAGGTACTGGGAGCTCATTATTTTTTTTTTTTCATTTTCTTCTGCCTAATAATCCTTAGAACAACCTTATGCCTTTTAATTTTTTTTGTCTTCTTGATTTATCTCTTGTAACATTATAATGCTTCTACCCACCTCTGCCCTCATGGTCACTGCTTTAATTTTGAGTCTCATTGGGCATCATCTCATTGCAGTTGCTTCCTAACTATAGCAAAAAAAAAAAAAAAGTTGTATTTATTTTTCAGACATAAGATAAGGCAAATATAAGCTTAACAAATATAAAACCAAGTAAGCTAGATAATGTTTGTGAAACCACATGCTCTCTCAGGAAACTGGTTATTGATTATTTTCTGATTATACATTATCATCCCCACTCACACATGAGTGGTTGAAAAGAAATCATTCGAAGAGTATTATGATACATAGATTTTAGCAACACTGTTAGTTCAAAGAATTTTATTGCTGATATCAGAGTTCATGGGTGTTTAATTTCAAAGTTTGGTGGCCAAATGCACCTTAGGTAGCTGGTCCATTTCAAGTGCCATCTGTGTCTAGAGAGACACAGATGAATTGGGGGACAATAAACATTTATTGTGAAAACTTGATGTTGAAAGATACTAACTCCAGGGACCAGGGACTAAGGGGCAAATTCCTGCAAAACCCAACCACCCAAAAAAAAGGTTTCTGTCTCCCCCCCCCACCCCCCCAGGACGGTAATATGTAAATACATGGGGTGGGAGGGGCTCAGAAACTTAACTCCTAGACAAAAGATACAATAATGTGCCAAAATTTGAGAGAGTTTGGGAACAATTGCCTCTTAATAAAAGGCGATTTTAAAATGGAAGAAAATCATGGTGATTTCCTGATAGCGGTTCCTCCCTCAAAGGCGTTTGACTCCAGCGTATTGGGTTTTGTTGTCTCTACATCCGTCTGTCACTAACCCAGTCTGTACCTCATCGTCTGCGAAAGCAAGGGCCTGGGCCTAGTTCTCCGTAGCCCAGAAGTATTCCTAGGATTTCGAGTCTAACACTGGTTGGCAGATTTCATAACCCCACTGCTCCTCCTTCCCCTGGAATCGCTCTCAAAATGTTCCAAGAGCCTGCCTTCAAAAATAGCCAGCACCTAATTTTCAAAAGCAAATGCAAACCTGACAGAATCTGCCGGCCTTGTTGCCTTTTGATAGTTCAGCTGGATGGGCGCCAACACCTGCTTTTCTAATGGCCTAATTTCCTCGCAGTAATGAAGATAAAGTTTTAGGTTGTAGACTTCTCCTCCAATGACTCAGAAGCGCAAAGGAAACCTCCTAACGTCAGTTACACATCCATATTCTTGTCACTGCTGAGGCTATGAATGGCCCGTGCGTATTTTAAGAGATTTGTATTTTATGAGTAGGAGGTAATTGTATTTTGATTTGGCTATTAACACTTTTTCTTATTTTTGAGCCACAAAGCTATGTCTAGATTTTAATGTGATAACCGTCAGGACAAAGCTATGTCTAGATTTTAATGTGATAACCGTCAGGAGTGTATTCTTTCACGATACAGTCTGTAGAGTGTGTCTGTATATGCTATGCTTCTAACCACGCTCCTTCATCATCCCTTCATTTATTCAATGGATATTCATTTACGGAACACCTTAATATATGTAACAAATAGTCATACATCTATCTGCCCGAGGGACTAGACATGATTCTAACCCTTTGTTTTTCAGATGAGAAAACGAGACTAGGAGAAACCAGGTAATTTAGCTAGTGTCATCCACATGCGAGAAAATATCACATATTCGTCAGTCTGCTGCTGTCCTTGGCCCAGCTGCCTTGTTTGTAAAAATGGGAGCAGTCACAACACGATGACGTCATAGGGTGGAAGAGCTTAGAGAACAGCAGTCAGCACACATGCCGGACCTCAGTTAGTAGCACTGTGGTCCAAGACTTGGATTAGACCTCTGCCTCTGCGTTTCCTTCCTATGATATATTCTGCCTTTATAGCATGACAATGTGTTATCCCAGCAGAGTGTGAGATTTACATTCAAATGCTGAAGGCTAAGCAGAGTTTCTGAAACGCATGTCATTTCCATTCACAGTCATAGGAAATCCTACAGAGAAACGTACCCGCGACCCCGCTGTTCTCTGCCCATCACTATAAAATGTCAAATCAGTGGTTTGGCAGAGAGAAAAGCCATGCATATGGTTGTAGGAACAGCTTTTTAACGACAGAATACGATCCCCACACGGAAATGCTTACGTTCCAGGAAAAGAATTCCTGAGAGCGCCACGCTGTGCGGTGCTGAGTGGAGGCTCCCTGGTGCTTGTTTGCTGTCAGCGGGCGAACCAAACAGCCTCCGGCATCAAGGGGGGTGCTTGCTTTCACCCCAGGAGACTCTCAGTCTTTGAGGCTTCCCAAGGCCCTTCCTTCCTTGCGAGAAGCTCCGTGTCTGCTTCCAGAGCCCGGCCTCACAGCCTCAGCTGCTCATTAGAGCCACCTGCGGAGCCCGTAAAAATTCCAACATAAAGAGCACACCCAGACCAGTTCCACCGGGGCTGGCAGGAGGACCGGGTAGTGGGAGTTTTGAAAGCTCCCTGGGCGACCATAACGCACAGCCACAGGTGGGGACAGCATGCGTCAGAAGTCAGCAACTCCTTAGCCCGATGCTAGTTTTGCAACATATGGGTAAGCAAATTCAAAGGAATGGCTTGCCTAGTTGAACGCCATCTTTCATTCCTGTTAATGAGCAAAGAACATTCGCCCTGCTTTTAGGATCTCTGGGGTTGGGTGAGATAATATGTCTGTAAAGGAAACACACTAATGCAAGCCGGTGCCGTGTTTTCCGGATGTGAGAGTTCCTCCAGAGAAGATGAGCAACTTCCAAGTCACCTTCTGCTTCTGCAGGAAAAGCGGCACATCATTGCCAGTGGCAAAAGAACAACTGGGCACACAACAACCTGCATTCTCCTAGGATTTTAGAGACCTCAACTCAGACCAAGCCAGGATTCTTGGCTTCAATGCCAAAGATGAGGCAAAGTTGGAAAAAAAAAAAAAAGTTAAAAATATTTTGGTATAGATTTAAGCATGAAAGTCAAGAGACGGGCACTCAGAAGGAAAGATACACCCAAGGGGATTATATGTTTCTCTAGAGAAAGTAGGGAAAATAAGGCCTGGGCGTCTCACAGGAGAGTGGCAATTGTCTCACTGTTATCCATAGGGACCGTCTTGGTGACTCTCGTTATCTCTCCAAGGGTGGCTCTGAGATTCCTGTCCTCTTTTGTTCTCATTTGGTAAACGAGATTATAGAGTGGTTCTGGAGGTGCCTTGGATGAAATTATAATCT